TACAACGGTAAAAACTACTTTTTACTTGTGGGCCCTACGGCAAGAGAGGGCAGGCGAGGTGTGACCCACACCCATAGTTTGCCAAACCCTGCCCTAGAAGCATGAACTCCAGCACGATCTCCAGTGTTCAAGGCAAGGATCCCAGCTGCCGCTCACGTCTGAGCTCCACTTCGGAAAGCTGGACAAGTACTGTGGGGTTTTGGAAGGCAGAAGAGTGCAAATCATGGCTCTCCATGTGGCCCTTAGTGTCTAACTGCTAAGCCCTGCTTCCTGATGTTCTTCACAACAAAAATCTGGCATCAGAAATCAGACACGGGCTGGCTGCTTTAGCGCTGCGTTGGCACCAGGTGCGTCCGTGGCAGGCTCTAGAAATAGCCCCTCCTATTTTTAACACCCTTGCTTCATCAGAGGGTTTCTAGTTTCTCCTGAAAACAACCCCAGGGCCTGGAGATACGAGTTGGAATTCAGAGCCTCTAAGCCACGTGTGTGGCCCTCTTGTCCCCACAAAAGTCCTCAGCATACCCGGGCAAGCTGCTTTCCCTTCTCGTTTGGGGTCAGGGGGCCCCTGGGATGTGGCTGAGAATCTGAGCGATTTCAACGCGAGGCGCAAGGAAAACATGAGTTTTCTGAGAGCTTTTTATTTCTAGCTACAGTCAGATTCTACCCAGTTAAAATGCTTCCCAGGGCTCCTGGAAGCCAAGGAGGGGATGTTCGGCTCATCAGAGAGGGTGTGTTTTATCACTGAGTAGGAGAGGCTGGTCCTCATTGTATCGCTGAGTAGAAAGGCTGGCTATTTACACGGAGCACCCAGAACTGGCAAACACAGGTTGTCCCTGCGATGTTCATAAAGGACAACTGGAGGCAGCTAATCAGAGGCTGGTACAGTGGGGACACCTCTAAGCTCCAGGGGACACTGGGTCCCTGCAAACACCTGTCCACCTGCTGGCCCTGCCTCCCCCGACTATGGCCAGGTCGGGACTCAGGTCCTTTTGCTCTATCTCAGGGGAGGCTGCGGCAGCCCAGGGGAGCTCAGAGAGAGGAAGTAGCCCGTGACTGTCACGGGTTGGGGGTGGGGTGCAGATGGGAGCAGGGTGGAGCTAAAATTACTCAGGCCTCCTCTCTGGAAGGTTCCAGGCTGAGACCCGGCTTCCTGCGGAAGAAGCCTGAGGGTCGCCACGGCTGCAGGAAGCCTAGTGCTCAGGCTCAGCGTCCATGCAGGACTCCCAGGGGTTCTGGGGCATTCGAGGCAGGGAGAACAGCAGGAGGGCGACACCGCCAAGGAAGAGGAGGATGAAGGCGGCGCAGGCGCAGGCGAAGGACCAGGAGTAATAGTACTCGATCCAGACGGTGTCCTCGCTGTCAATCATGCGCTTCACCGACTGCCGCATGACCTCCACTGAGACGAGGATGCACAGACCTGGGGCAGAGCCAGAGACGCTCAGGGACGGAGGGGCCCCTACCGTTGCCCCCAGCCCCACCCTGGCCTGTGTGCTTGGAGGAGGCGGTGATCTTCCCTTGGGGGAAAAGCCACCTCAAGGCAGTTTCTAGCTGGGAACCTGCAGAAGGATCCATTTGTCCTCCCACCACCCAATCCTGTATGCCTCAGAAGGGTGGCCACATGGCTGGGTGTGGTGGCTCATGCCTGTAAGCCCAGCACTTTGGGAGGCTGCGGCATGAGGATCGCTTGAGGCCAGGAGCTTAAGACCAGCCTGGACAACATAGTGATGAGACCTCTGTCTCTACAAAAAGTTAAAATAAAAAATTAGCCAAGTGTGGTGGTGCACATCTACAGTCCCAGCTACTCAGGAGGCTGGGGTGGGAGGAACCCTTGAACCCAGGAGTTTGAGGCTGCAGTGAGCTGTGATGTGCCACTGCACTCCAGCCTGGGAAACAGAGCGAGACCCTCTTCCTCGTCCCTCAAGAAAAAGTAAGAAGGTGACCACGTTTCTTTCCTTCTTTTGTCCATCATTCTTTGGGCGGTTTCTTCGGGGCCTTGAGGACTGTGGGGAGGAATGGACAAACCACCCAGCTCTCTCTCCCTCTAACCCACCTGGAGTCGCTGAGGGCCTGGCCAGGTTTGCCCCTGGTTGGGGATGGAGCCTGTGAAATGCCCCCTACCTAAATCCCTCGGTAGGCATGAGAGTGGAGCAGAGAATCCCCGTGACATGGTCCTCCGGCCCCGCGCTTGGGCAGGGCCCCCAGTCTACCTGCAAAGGCGTAGAACATGGACGCGGGCCGCAGCAGGTAGTCCCTCTTATTCTGGAGGGACAGGAGGACGCAGAGGCTGCCTAGGATGACGAAGCCAAGGCCGAAGATGGCGATGGCGGCCGCCGAGATGCTGTACTCTGCGAACACAAGGGACACGAAGCATGCGGCCTCAGCCCGGGAGTTCTCGCCGTGGCTGGTCAGAGACGATGCCTGCACCACAGTTCCCATTTCACACGTGGGAAAGCTGACAGCCTTGGGGACCAAGTCCTGCCCTATGGCCCATGCAAAGCCAGGCTGCCCCAGGGCTTCTTCCACCCCTGTCTTTCCAGAGTACCAGGCTGCAAGGTCCCCAATGGGGCAGGGGCAAGAGGCAGGTGGCTGGAGACCTTTCTAGAACAGAAACTTTTCTCCGATGGACCGGGAGGAGGCAATGGGGCTGGGGGGTCTGTCCTGGGGTTAAGGAGCAAAGGACAGCTTGTCACCCAGCCTGGTGCACATGAGGCTCTGCCAGTGTGCATGGCAGTGTGTGTGTGCATGTGTCTGTGTGGCGGTGTGTGTGTCTGTGTGTGGTTAGTGTGTCTGTTAGTGTATGTGCCACATGTGTGAGGATCTGTCAGAATATGTTAGTGTGTGTATGTTAGTGTGTGCCTGTGTCAGTGTATGTGTGTGTTATGTGTCCTGTGTGTGCTAGTATCTGGGTCTATGTCAGTACGTTGGTGTGTGTCACTTGTGTCATGTGTGTCTGCACGTGCTCGTGTGTACATATTTCTCTGCATGGTAGTGTGTGTCCGTGCGTCATTACTTGTGTGTCATTGTGTCTTGTGTCATTGTGTGTGTCTGTGTCTTGTATGTGTGTCATTGTGTGTTATTGCCTGTGGATCACTGTATGTCATATGTGTGTAATTGTGTGTCATTGTATGTGTAAGTGTGTGTCTCTGTGTCTGTGTCTTGTGTGTGTAATTATGTGTGTCAGTGTGTGTCTCTCTGTGTCTTATGTGTCACTGTATGTGTGTGTCACTGTCTCTGTATGCCTGTGTGTGTCTTGTGTGTGTGTCATTGTGTTTCTGTGTGTCACTGCTTGTGTGTCATTGTGTGTGTACATGTGTGTCAGTGTGTCTGTGTGTCTTGTGTGTGTCATTGTGTATGTCATTGTACGTGTGTCTCTGTGTGTGTGTATCAGTGTGTGTGCATGTGTGTCTGCCCACGCACACTGTGCAGCTGTCTGGGCGCGGGCATGCTGGGGTCTGTACTCCCGACAGTGGGTGTGTGCCTGAGCTCTGTTGATCCTGAAAAGCTCCCAGAGCCCACCATGCCCCCCTGCTACTCGGGGAGGGATTTCTAGGTGAGGGAGGGACTGAGACTGTCCCTGCAGATGCTATCACATTCCATCGAGAGCCACCACGGGGCTTCTGAGCACTCGTTCCACACCCACAGCTCCCGTCACAACAGCTGCCCCTGGGTCAGAGCCTGCCAGGAAGTGCTGCTTCCACGGAGGCTCCCTGGCCCCGAGGCAGGGAAACTCTGGGCACTGGAGAGGCAGGGACTCTGCCTGGGGCCTCCAGAGCAGGGAGGTGACAAGGCTGTGGAGCAGGGAGGTGATGAGGCTGTTGTTCAAATGCACTGCGGGATGCTTCTCATCAGGCATTCTCCCCGAATGACTTTCTAATTCTGTGGTGCACGACACAAAAGTCCCCTCTTGTCACCTCTGCCCCCTTTCCACCCAGGCTTACCCTTCTGAGTGGTGAATTCGAAGATCTCCGAGCTCTCGCCGGGGTTAAAATGCCTGAAGTAGGAACAGTTCTTCTCTGCAAAGGAGGAGACAGCCTGTGAGTTGAGAGGAGGGCCCGCAGCGAGGACAGGCCGGGCAGAGAGCGCAGCGCCATTCTGCTGGGCATGCAGGGGCTCTGGCCGGCTCCCTGCTCCCTATATCCCTAATCTGGGCCGAAACATCTGTCTTTGACCCTTAGGCAACATCTCAGTGGGATAATGAGGTTGCCTAGAAGGCTGGGAGGTCTTCAGGGGGCTGAAGCTGGATGAGCCCGCAGGGCAGATGGCATGTGGGTTCTGCACCCCATTGGGCAGATGGGGTAACTGAGGCCCAGGTTCAAGCCATTTTTCAGGGTGTTCAGGGTGCATAATCAACAAAGAACCAATCAGCAGTCTCCACTGGGGCTGACTCTGCCCCCCAGGGGACACTGGGCAATGCCTGGGGACATGCTGGTATTGAGAGGGATACACCTGGCATCTGGTTGGTAGAGGCCACAGACTCTCCTGAAATCCTACCACACACAGGACAGGACCTCCCAGCATGGAATTATCCAGGCCAAAACGTCAACAGTGCCAAGACTGAGAATCCCCGGATCAACCCTACATCTGGGACTGTGTTTCTCAGCAGAATCCAGGCGCACCCTGATTCCCTTGGGGGACCTGGGGAGCAGTGCTGTTCAAAAGCTTTCTGGGAGATTCTGATGCAGCCAGGATAGGACCCCCTGCTCCAGGCTTCTTAAAGTGCCCTGCAAAGGGCCTTTTCTGAGTGGCCATTGGATGGCCTGATGCAGGTGGAACCCCCCATGAGGGCTGAATGTGACCATCAGGTGGTTTCACTGGGCCCTGGGTCTCTGTGAGACAGCCCAGATGAGACCCACCTGACAATCGTCGTAAACGCTGTGGAAGTCTGTGGGCAGTAGGAACACAAATCTGAATTTGGCAAGGGAGAAGGGAAGGCCTCAGCACAAGGAAATTCATGCTGATTTAAAATATAATTTCACTTCCATTTTTCTCTTTCAGCCTCTGTCTCATAGCTAGGTATACTATAAAATCAAAGCACAGGCCGGGTGCCGTGGCTCACACCTGTAATCTCAACACTTTGCGAGGCCGAGGAGGGAAGATCACTTGAGCCTAGGAGTTTGAGACCAGCCTGACCAACATGATGAAACCCCGTCTCTACTAAAAGCATGATAATTAGCCAGCTTTGGTGGCAGGTGCCTGTAATCCCAGCTACTCGGAGGCTGAGGCAGGAGAATTGCTTCAACCTGGGAGGCAGAGGTTGCAATGTGCTGAGATCGTGCCTCTGCGCTCTAGCCTGGGTGACAAAGTGAGACTCAGTCTAAAAAAAAAAAAAGGCACAGTCTTACTTCCTCCTAAATAGAATTTATCTTCTTTGCTCTTGATTTAGGAAGTGGATGAATGGGTTATTTTATATTATGTTTCCTTCAAAAATTAAATTAGTTTGCTTTTTATTTGTGGAGGCCCTCAGATAGAAAAACATCTCTTCCTCTAGTTTAGATGGTGTCTAGTTTGTCAATTCATTTCTTCACTTCCGGGCCTCATTTAGATGCTCACAAGGCGGTTGATGCCTAGTTCTTTCTAGAAATGCACCTGCAGTGCTACCAAGGCTTTTCTTTGGGATGAAGGCTTCATTTAATCTGACCTAAATCATCTTGCTCCTGAAGCCTGTGGTCTTGTACCATTCCCCTCCTTCCCACAAAAGTCAGGGCTGCTGCCTCTCAGGAGGTTGAGGAAGGAAATGACCCCTGGAGATGGGATCCGGTTTAGCAGCAATAAACGTTCCTGGCAGAAACAGCCCTCTCTGTGCACTTCTATATTTAAATCACTTTCCTTTTGAACCGGTTACCTGGGGTGTCTGACTGCTGGTGGTGATGTCAGAATTGGTGCTCTGCTCTTCTCTCTCTGCATCCGGTGCTATTTTAAAGCATGCTGCGGCCCTCTTCTATTTGTTGGATTATTAGCTATAGATCCCTGGAGTCACTGCTTCAAAATGGCCCGTGCTATGTCGTAAGTCTCCACGTGTCTCCCTCTGGACAAAGAAACATTTCTGTTTCATTCTTTAAGGGCCAATTTCAGTTGTCAGAATTGACTGAATTCAAGTGTATTTCACACTCAGCTGCCTCCCCGACTGCTGGAAAGCCGTCAGTTAAAATCCTTCCTAGCGGAGGGCCTGAGATGAGGGCCACGGAGTGCCTCGCTGGGGCACAGCTGTTCACACCTGCTGGGTAGCTGAGGGGGCTCTCGTACAGGTAGCATTTAGCTTGCCAAATCCCCACCAGATAAACACCAGGCTCCATCTGGCTGCTGGCTGCTTGGATAGAAACGATCTTAACTCAGACACAGGAGTAGGCTCCGTGTCTGCAGGAGCCAGGCTGTGAACTTTTCAGGGGATGCTTTCTTTCAGTGGCCCAGGTACAATGTTCCCCCTCCCTCTCCTCCATTAAGTGTCCTCCAATGCGGGGAGAGGGTTCCCAGTGGGTAGGATTCCTTCTCAGGGCCTCAAGAAGCCTCAGCTTCACTCTTACGTGGCTGAACTGGGGGCCTGAGGATGGATGGGCTGACCCTGTCCCCTCTTTTGGGCTTAGCACATGAAAAAGGACAGTGTCTCCTGCCCTGAACCTGGGAGAAGCATCCACTCCTGGGCTATGTGGCTGCCCATTGGAGACCGTAAACCCTTTCATGGTCTGTGATGGCCCCTGTAGCAGTGGGGACACGTCAGACCCAGGCCTCATTCAGGACAAATTAGGCCAGACATCTGCCCATGTCACTTAAGAGGGCGCAGGGTCCTGTTCAGATGAACAGACCCTGCTATGAGCCCCTTCCCTTCCTGCCTTGTCCCTGGGTCCAGGTGGATATTATTTGGGAAACTGAGCATCCAGGGAAACTTAAAGAGGAAGTACATCCGAGGTGGACCTACCTTAGTCACGGGTCAAGAGGAGAGGGACAGTGACGGTCCTGTGCAGACCCTGAGCCTTCCCACCTCTGCCTCTGGGATGTCCCTCCCTGCCCGCCTGCCCTGGCTGTCATAACACCTGCACAAAGATCAGGGATTGCAGCTTTGCTTCTGGCTAAGTCAGCAGAGGTTCCAAAGCCGGATGATGATCTGGGTGTTGGGAACTCTGAGGCTCTGCCAGTCTCCTTTGTCTCTGCAAATGGTTTATGCTGAGGTCAATGTTCTTATTTCCATAAGACTCAGTGGTCTAAAAATATTAAATGGGGTATTTCTTAAAAATATGGTGAACTCAGCTCTCAGGCTTGACTGGGGGATGGAATAGTCTGGCTAGCCAAGCGTTCTGGTTGAGGGTGTTAGTAACTGCGCAGAGCCATGTCTAGTGTGCCAGTTTCAAAGAATTAGAGCAGAAGCCACATTTAGCTCAAGCGGAGCTTGAGTTAATAGGGATCTTTTTGTGATAGTTGGAACAGCTGGTAGGATTAGGGGATGCCCTGGGTTATCACTGAGAATGTATCAGTGCACCAAGTGACAGTCCATGGAGACTTTAATATGTTCAAAGACTTTGTGGATTTGTCCAGATCCAAGGGAACTGGTTCTCCAGGGATGCAAGGAAGCCTCTGGCTGGCATTGATGCTAGTGTGGTGTTTAGCCTTTGAGTAAAATAAGTTCTCTCCGCTCCTGACAGTGGTTTCTCTGGGCTGTGTCTCCTCCCACACCTCTGATTGAGGAATTTTATAAAATGGGCTGGAGAAATCTCCAACACCTGACCCTGGATCTTCAGAGCACTGCTCTTCCGTGGGGGAAGCTGGCTTTGGCCTAGGCCTCCGGCATGGACTCCTGTGGGTGGTGAGGGGAGCTGATGAAATTCCTGGGGTCAGTAGTATCATGCTCTTTCATGCAGTCCCAATTCCTGCACTGAGAGAAGATGGACCACTAGGGAAGATAGGGCACTAGGCGAAGTGCACCTTGGGGAGCCTGCCTCTGGTGTCTCCCGACAATGGCAGAGGCCTCTACTATCCTCATTCTGGAGGCGTTATAATTGATCTTAGATGTTGGTCGTTTACATGGAAGTCCTTCTAAGACTCTTTGGGGGACAGTAGAAAAATTAGACAATGCTTTCCCACTGAGCCTCCAACATTCTAAGGCTAAAGGGGACCTTGAGAAGTCTCCTCCACTGCACCAGCTCCTGGCCCAGCTGCCCTCAAACTATGCCAGGTCAAAAGCTGGACTCTGTTCACTTGGGTCAGAGCTTTTAGGACCTGTGTTTATATGCACAATAGAGGGTGTGGGAAGGAACTGGAGAGAAAGGAGACTCTAGATTCAAGACTTGGGTGGCGAACTTCTTCTGCTTGTTAGCTAGTTAGCCTGGGGAAGGCTGTGTTCAGCCTTACTGTTCCTACCTGCAGAATAAGAACCACCTGTAGAATGAGAACCTACTCACTGGGTTGTTGTAAAGTAGTTAATGTATTGACTAAAAAGGTTAGCGGTAAATGTCTGAGTGTGAGTCCTGGCTGCTCTGCTCATTACCTGTGTCGCCTTGGTCAAATATCTCAACCTCCCAGTGCTTCATTTTCTTTATCTGTAAGATTGGAATGATGATAATAGTATGGACTTCATGAAGGTTTTTGTGAGGATTAGATGAGCTAATATATGTATGTCATCCCACCACCTTCTGGCTTCCATAGATCTGGGGGGAAATTGGCTGTTCATCTTGTTAAGGATTCCTTGTATGTGATGAGTTGCTTCTTTCCGTTTTTTAAGATTCTCTGTCTCTGTCTTTTAACAGTTTGATTTTGATGGTCTAATGTGAATCCCTTAGAGTTTATTCTACCTGAAGTTCATTGAGCTTCATACATTTGTATATTTTTAACGTTTTGCATCCAATCTGGGAAGCATATGGACGTTATTTTTCATGTACCTTTTTGGCTCTGTTCTCTCTTTCACTCTCCTTCTGGCACTCCCTTTACGCACTTGATGGTGTCCCACAAGTGTCTGAGGCTCTCGTCACTTTTCTTTATTCTTTTTTTCTGTCTGTTCCCCAGACTGGCTAATCTCAACTGCCTTATCTTCAAGGTCATTGATTCTTTTGCCTGCTCGGATATGCTATTGAGCCCCTCTAGTAAATCTTTCATTTCAGTTATTATACTTTTCAACTCCAGAATTACTATTTGATTCTTTAAAAAGTAACTTCTGTCTCTTTATTGATAGTTTCTATTTCATGATACATCATTTTCATCTTTCTTTTGACTTTTTTTTCAAAGTTCTTTGGACATATTTACAATAGCTGATTTAAAGTCTTTGTCTAATAAGCCCAATATCTGGCTTCCTTAGGGATCTATTAATTTCTCTCTATCCCATATATGATCCATATCAGTTTGGCTCTTTGCATGTCTTGTATTATTTATGTATATATTTATTTATTTAGAGACAGAGTCTTGCTCTGTCACCCAGACTGGAGTGCAGTGGCATGATCACAGCTCACTGTAGTCTCTAACTCCTGGGATCAAACAATTTCCTCACCTAAGCCTTGGGAATAGCTAGAATTACAGGCACATGCCACCATTCCTGGCTATTTTGTGGGTTTTTTTTTTTTTGGTAGAGACAGGGTCTCACTATATTGCTCAGGTTGATCTCAAACCCCTGGCCTCAAGCAATCCTCTCACCTCGGCCTCCGAAAGTGCTGGGATTACAGGAGTGAGCCAGCACACCCAGCCAGTAGTTTTTAAACAATATAATGTGGCAACTCTGGAAATCAGTTGTTCCCACTTCTTGAGGATTTGTTCCTGTTGTTTGTTTAGTGACTTTTTTGAACTAATATGGTAAAGTCTGTGTTGTCATCTGTGACCACTCAAATCCCTGTTCAATTACCTTAGTGGCCAGTTAGAAATTTCCTAAAATGCTTATAAACAATACCTCTCCCAGTCTTTACTGAGGGGCTCTGTGCATATGACTTTCACACTCAGCTAAGCCACCCACATCTCTGCCTTAGCCTTCACTTTCTGTTTGAACAGAGCCTCACGATAAGGCAGAGGTGAGTGCTTAGGGCCTTCTCAAGTCTTTCCCTAGCATGCACATAGCACTGTTTATGCACATGGCCTCCTAGATTCCCAGGAATATGTTGAAGCTTTTCAAAGCAACCTATGGACATCTCAGTCTCCAGCTTCTTGATTGGCCTATTGTTTTGCCCAACTATTATCTACTGCCTCAGGCAACCATGATGTTGAGCAATCATCTCTAATTATTGACTATTTGCACTCATGAGCTCAGAGTCAGATAAAAAAGAAACAGCTTCTCAAGCAAGGATTTTCAGGGAATCACCAGACAAATCACATAATGACAATTCTCTGGGAATGCGCCTTTGATCCAACCCCGTTCTCTCCCCTCCAGAGGCTAGTGGGATGCTGGTTTTCACTGATTATGGAATGTTGGTTTGCAGGGTTACTACAGAGCTGGGAAAGGGAAAAGAACAGGGCAAGTTAAAACACCACAGAACTCACTGGTCCCGAGATTTACCCATTTTTCTTGCTGGATTGCTACAAGACTTTGATTAATTTCCAGAGTTCTGAAAAGGCTAATTCTGACCATTTCTGCCAGCACTCTCATTGCTTTTATGGAGAAGAAGATTTTTGGAGGTTCTTTCTCCATCATTTTTTCCCCCAATGTCATTAGAAGTTAATATATGTAAAGCATTTACTACAATATTTGACACATAGGGTTACATGTATGTGCCATTATTATTGTTGTTGTTAATTGAGAGGCCACATATGAACTCACTTCCTCCCTCTAGAGAAGAGCGGTCCCAGGGAGCAAAAGAAGGGCAGATAGGGAAAGAGAAAGATGTCCATTTGCACAGAAAAGAGAGGTAAAAAGGCAAGAACATACTTTGGAAGATTACTGGGGGGAAGGTAGTGCTGTGTCACAAGCGTGGGAGGTATGGTTCATGGCTGGTTAGGCTAAGAAGGCAAAGAGGTAGATCCTGGTCAGGCTCAAGCTCAAGCAATGCCTGTTGGTTCCCTGAGATTGGTCCAGTCACCTCTCACTAGCATGCTGCCCCCCTATGATTGGTCCAGTCACCTCTCACCAGCCTGTTGGCCCCCTGTGATTGGTCCAGTCACCTCTCACTAGCCTGTTGGTCCCTTGTGATTGGTCCAGTCACCTCTTGCCAGCCTGTTGCCCCCCTGTGATTGGTCCAATCACCTCTTATCAGCCTGTTGCCCCCTGTGATTGGTCCAGTCACCTCTCACCAGCCTGTTGCCCCCCTGTGATTGGTCCACTAACCTCTCCCAGCCTGTCACCCCCTGTGATTGGTCCAGTCACCTCTCACCAGCCTGTCTCTTCCTTGTGTGGACTCTGTTCACTGCCCAGCCCTCTTCTCTGACTTTAAAATGCAGATGGTTCCAGAGAGGGGTGAACAGGACTGTAACAGCACGTCTCTGTGCATGGTCCCTGAAGAAGCTACCTCGCCCTGCCCTGCCCTGCCCTGCCCTGCCCAGGGGAGTTGGCTGGAGGCTGTGCCTGTTTACGGGTGTGCTCAGCAGTGGCCAAGGGACATGGGCATCCGGGCTATGCGATACCCTGCAAGCACATGCTCACACCTGTCACCCTCAGCACCGGGACTTGGTGTTTCTACAATAGCTGGGTACTTACGAGTCTTCTGGGTGCCCAGTTGGGGTGAGCAAGGGAGGGGATCTCTGGAGCAAGCAAGAGGGAAGGAAGAGGGAGCAGAGACATGGGAGGATGGGGTCTGGGCTCTCTGACCCACAAACAGACTGCAAGATCTTTGGGGACTCAGCCTTAGTGTCCTTGAAGGACAGGTGTCAAGGAACATCCAGTCTGATAAAAGATGGAATAATCCTGAAAGCCAGGTGGGACATCATACTGACATCACCCTGCTCCACTGCCACCGTGGATGGGCGTCCGTAAGCCCGGGAAGGGATCTTATGTTGCTGAGAGTCAGTCCCATATTTTATAGAGGAAGAAGCCGAGGCTGAGATGAGCTTCGTCCTCCCTGGAGGGTCATTTGGAGGGTGGTAGGCAATGGTGACAAGATCCCTGGCTGCCTGGTCTCCATGTAGCCCTCTTTCCTCTAAAGTGCTGTATTGAATCCAGAGGCCTCCGCATTTGCAGAATAGAGGCTAGCCACGCAAATACCAGGTACTCCTGAAAAGGAGCTTACCTTTGACATGTGGTTTGGTCACATGGTAGGAAATTGAGGAATATGCTTAAATGACAGGGTGAGGAAAATGCTTTGACGTGGTCTTTTAAAACGCTGACAGGGTCTGAGCTAAGGGAGGAGGCACAGAGGACTGAAGTCCTGACAAAAGTGTGGGTGGAGGCTGGGCACGGTGGCTCATGCCTCATCCCAGCACTGTGGGAGGCCAAGGTGGGTGGATTGCTTGCAGTCAGGACTTCAAGACCAGCCTGGCCAACATGGCGAAACTCTGTCTCTACTAAAAATACAAAACTTAGGCTGGTGTGGTGGCACCTGCCTGTAATCCCAGCTACTGGGGAAGCTGAGGCAGGAGACTCGCTTGACCCCAGGAGGCAGAAGTTGCAGTGAGCCGAGATCGCACCACCACACTCCAGCCCAGGGAACAGAGTGAAACTCTTTCTCAAGAAAAAGAAGGTAGGGGGCAGGTGGCTCACCCACAGCCATGTCCTGCTTCATAGACATTCAACCTGTGCAGCTGCCCCAGGCCCAGGGCCCGCAAGGGTCCATGCTTAGTTTCATGCCCTGCTGTCACTGCCTTGAAATCCTCGGTAATTTGGAGCAGGGAACCCTGCACTTTCATTCAGCACAGGACCCTGCAAATTCACCTGTCTAGTCTCCTCTCCTGCCTCAAGTCCAGGAACGACCCCGCCAGCCTGATAGGTGCCCCCAGCCTGAGCACACAGAGCCACTCAGCCTGTCTTGGCAGGGAGGGAGTGATCAGGTGGGGCCCAGAAGCCCCCGGGCTGGTAGAGCCAAAGTCCCTTTCTTGAGCCTGCTCAGCTGTCTGCTCTGGGCGAAAAGCCCCAAGGTCCAGCCAGACAGAAATAGCTGGGACAAGCGCCCTCGTCTTATAACCCAGCTCCGGCCACCAGCACAGCACATGCGATTCAGATCGTCTTCCCTGGGCAGAAAGGGCTGGGTGGCTGCCCTGTTCTAGGCAGACAAACCTGCCTTCCTTCGCGTGGGCAACTTTGCTGGGGAAAGATGGGGAAGGGCGGGAGGTGGGGATTGGGAGGGAGGCTGGGTACGTTACCCCCGGGCAGGGTGATGGGCCCACAGGTCTTGCTGTCGTCCATGGGGATGCGCTTGGTACAGATCCGCCAGAGGCCGAAGTGGGCCGCCTCGCAGGTGGTGTTGTGGTGCTCCAGGTGGGGGCTCAGCACAGCCCAGTGGTCGGTGACCACGGCAGTCGTGGCCAGCACGATGCCTGCCAGGATGCAGAAGAGGGTCACGCGGACCTTCAGCATTTTGGTCTGGGACATGGTGGTCGCCGAGGCGTGGGTGCCCTGGGCAGGGTCCGGTGACTGCGTCTCCTAGGGCAGGTGACAGCCGAGCTGGGGGGGTGGCAGCGGCTGTTGAGCTGGGAGTGGCCGCTAAGTTTAGTGTGGCCTGGCTGAGCCAGAGTGGGCTGGCCTTGCGGCTGAGGGACGCTGGACATGCTGAGCAGCTGCCCAGACGTGTCAGGGGCCTGAGGGAGGCTGCTATTAATGCCCGTCTCCAGGCGTGGCATCGAGGACAGCTTCTGCTCAGGTTTCAGGGGTTTCTGTCCCTCTGGGAACCAGAAGTACCCTGGTAGGGGGTCAAGGAGAGAAGGCTCTGGGTGGTGGATTGAGGCCTCTATGGAGTAGCAGCTCAGGGTGTCTGAATTGGGAGGGAGTGGGCAGCAGGGGCTGGGGGTGGGGACCTGCCTGCTCTGGGCTGATGGGAAAGGGCAGCCCAGGGCAGGGGAGGAGACCAGAGCTGCAGGCTGCCTGGCCTTCCTGCGCTCCCATGGGACAAGTCTGTCACCAGCGGGGCAGTGAGTAGGTCCTCATCCTGGGATCTGGGGAGCCTAGGACTCTGTTTAGGGACATCCCAGGGACCCCATCCAGGGCCTCTGGAGTCTTCCTCTCAGGGAAGTGTTTTAGCCACAAACTCCATGGCCTCCCCCAAACTGTGGGAAGATTATCGGTGGTTCCCAGGCCTGGCCTTTCCTAGCTCTGACCCCTCCATGAGAACATCACTTCCTTCTCAACTCTCTTTCCATACCCGGAACTGGGTCCAGAGCAAAGCTGTACTGGGGGTCAGTGTCTGTATTACCCGCAGCGTGTCCCTGAAACCGAGAGAGAATGGCCTGAAGAGGACAAGGAATCCCGTTGGACTTGGTCATTCTGTTTTCAGGGTACTCTGTTTGGTTTTGCCTTCTATTAACAGCAGGTGATAACGATTTTTATTTAATTTGCACACACTTATTTAATTTGCAAAATAAGTGTGTGAGTAAAAAAGAACAAATAGGTTGATTTACGAGGGATAATTAGGAGGCTCGTGAGTGCTTAGATATGGCAGAGGACACAGAAGCCTGGGACTGAGCACCCTCCCAGGGTCCTGTGAGCCTGGCTGCCCTCCAGGGGTCCCCAAGGCTCTGGCCCCTACATCCCTCCGGGGTTGTGCCGTCTCTTCTTTCTCAGCTCACCGGGTAGCCCTTTTTGGTCTAGCTGAGAGTCTGATGCATGACCAGGAGCAGCCTCCTGAGATGGGTGGGGCCTTGAGTTTCAAAATCCTGGCCGCAGATTGACACGGTTTACAGAGACTCTCCACATGTGGACAGAAACGTTCCAGCCTCCAGTCTTGGAATCCCAGAAAGTTCATGACGATGATAGTAGCAATGGCTCATCTTCAGCGAGGGCTTCCTGTGGACCAGGCACTCTGCTAAGCCTTCCCCCAGCATCACCGTTATTCTCCACACCAATCCACAAGGGAGCTACAACTCTTACTGCATTTCACAGATAAGGACAAGGAAGCTCAGAGACATGACGCTACTCGTCCAAGGTCACACAGCGGGAAAATGAGGAAGCCAGGTTTCAGAACCCAGAACTCAGTCTTAACCCATGGTTTGAACTGGGAAGAAGCTTCAAGATCTACTGTGACAGATTAGGAATCTGCAGCCGAGAGAGGAGATGTGACAAGCCAGGGCCACTTGGTGAACAGCCCCAGGGATGAGCGGAACCCTCATGTCTCCAGCCACCGGCTTGTGGTTATGGCAGTTCCATCCAAACTTTCATATTTTAAAAATCAATCTCTCATCCAGATTATGATCTCCCGAGAGCTTTTCTCCCCACTGTTCTTATCTGTGCCCCCTTCCTCCCTGGCCCCCCCCCACCTCTGTGTTCCCAGTGGGCGCTAATCCATCACAACTGACTGATGGCTGACTGACTGCTGACACCTGCCGCCGCCCCTGCCTCAGCTCGCGGAGGAACTGCCTGTCTCCAGGTGGGTGGACTGTCTCCATGGGGAACTCCCAGGAGCTGGGATATGGTCACAGCCTCTCAGCCCTCTCACGCTGCTTGTGGGGGCCCAGCTTCAGGACCCTGGTACCTGGGGACCTCAGGGGGTGCTGGACAGCTTGAACAGACCTACTGAGTGCCAGGCACCCCAGCAAAGCAGTAGCCAGGGAGCCAAAAAAAGGTTCCAGTGTTTTAAGACAAAATATCTCGAAAGAAGCTATTTAATTTTAGCATTACAAATAAATACAGTGTCACTCTGAGAATAAGTGTCTTTTGAATTTCCTGGTGTGGTGGTGGCGGGGGGTGCCCTAAGCTTTTCTGTGCCAAGAGCCTCTGACAGCCTCGGAAAGCAGCCTGAGTGGGCTCAGCCCATGGGGTACACCAGCGCCAGCCATGGAGACGTGGCAGGCCCATCAAAGATGCCAAGCCTTGGCAGGGGCAGCCACCGACAACCTCTGCTTCTCTTTCCCTCGGTGGGGGCGGGTTCGTGCCCCACACAGGGGTCCAGAGTCCTCCACCCCAGTGCAGTGAAAGCATGAAAGATTGATGGCCTCTTCCTTTTGAAGTCATCTTTGTGTAAATCGCACCACAAGGCCAGCAGCTGCAGCTGCTGCAGGCAAGTCCACGTTCTCTTCCCTGTTTACTGAAAGCTCCTTCAAAGACGCCTTTTCTGCTCACAGAGGCACTGCTGGGCTGCCTGCCTGGTCCCCCAAGGGCCTGGCAGGGCCAGGAAGGGACTTCAGTAGTCACAGGCATTTGCTGGGAGTTGAGCACGGCGACATCCATGTCCTCACCCTTTCCAGGGCAACAGGAAGGGGCGCATCTCACGGGGCAGCATGTGAGAGGGAGACCAAGCTAGTGGGTGATAGAGCCAGCCCCAAGCAGATCCCCGCACTGCCTGTCTCCAGCTGTGCGGCTTCCAGCAAGCCATGAGCCTTTCTAAGCCGCCCTTTGTGAAATGAGGGCCACCGGCCTGGCTGCGGAGGGGATGGAAGGGCTGGAGGGAGTGCCTTGGACCAGCTTAGCCACGGTAGGCGCCATGGGCTGAATCGTGTTTCCCCCAAGTTCATATGTTGAAGACCTAACCCCTAGTGTGATGGTGTTTAGAGATGGGGTCTTCGGGAGGTAATTAAATGAGCTCAGAGGGCGGGATCCTTGTGATGGTGGCAGTGGCTGTATTAGTCTGTTCACACACTGCTAATAAAGACGTGCCTGAGACTGATAATTTATAAAGGAAGGAGGTTTAATGGACTCACAGTTCCACATGGCTGGGGAGGCCTCACAATCATGGCGGAAGGTGAAGAAGGAGCAAAGACCACGTCTTACATGGCGCCAGGCAAGAGAGCATGTGCAGGGAACTTCCCTTCATAAGACCATCAGATCTTATGAGAGTTATTCACTATCATGACAGCAGAGGAAAGACTCACCCCATAATTCAGTTACTTCCCACTGCGTCCTTCCCAAGACACAGAATTAGTAAAGATGGGGTTTCACCATGTTGGCCAGGCTGGTCTCGAACTTTTGACCTCAAGTGATCCATCTGCCTTAGCTTCCCATCCTTCTTGGCCTCCCAAAGTGCTGTGATTACAGGTGTGAGCCACTGCACCCCGCCTAAAGATTTTTATACTTCTTTTCATGAGGATCTGAATGATATCATTAATATTATTTCTTTAGGGGAAGGTCAAAATAAAAAGTGGCAATTTAAAGAAAAAGGTGAAGCAGGCCAGGCGAGGTGGCTCCCAGCCCTCCTCGGACCCTCCTACCCCCTCTTTCTCTTACAGGGACTCTGTCCTTCTATCTGGGCCCGCCCACATAATCCAGGATAATCCGAGCATCTGAAGTTCTTAATTTAATCATGCCCTCCAAGTCCTTTTTGTCATGTAAGGCCACATATTCACAGGTTCCAGGGATTAGGATGTGGACATCTCAGGGAGTCCCCATTCTGCCTCCCGCAGGCACCAATTTACAAATCACTTGATTTTCTCTGATGTTACCATGCGGCTCAGCTGCAGAGATGGAGAAAATCTGAAAGGTAAGATTGGAAGAGGGTTGGGGATCTTCCAGGAGACAAATGGTAGAAGGAGAAGAGCCCGAGGGAACTGAGATGTTGGCAAAGGCCTTGCCATGTTCTAGACTTTAGGATGGCCCTGAAACCAGGAAGCATTGCGATTGGGAGAAGATGGAGGGGCCAAGACCTGGAGGCTTGGCGAGGTTGTAGAACAGGTGTCATGGTGCAGAGGGCATGGAGGAATTGGGAGCATTGGAAACTGTGACCAGCGAGGAGAGTGATGGCCCTGAAGATTACACTGGGACAGTTAGGGGCAATGACAAGGTCAAGGTTGGAGATAAAGGTCAATGGAGGTGAGAAGACTGGAGAGCTCTGTGGTCAGGGAGCCAGAGTGGTTGACCCCATGGACGTCGATGTGACCAAGAACCTAAGGTCTTGGCCCAGAGCCAGCATCAACCACCAGACATGAGTTAAATGAGTACCTCCAGATGATTCCAGCCCCCAGCCTTGGAGTCTTCCAGTGGAGGCCCCAGGTAGTGAAGCAGAGAAAAATCATCCTGGCCCTATCTTGTTCAAGCGGAGACAAGAGTCTTTGAGTATACTGAATGGTTGTTTAATACCACTATGTTTTGAGGTAGTTTGTTACACAGCCCTACTGACTGGTACGCTAGGCAGCTGGAGGGAATTCTATTTTGGGATGCAGAGAATGGCTAAATGTGTGGTCTGGTGGGATGAAGCAGGCTCAGCCTTTGGCGAGGAGAGCAGTACGAAGCTGCTGCTATGGAGCAGTGAGGGGAGCGGGGGCAGGTGGAGGCTGAGGGTGCTGTCCCCACAGCCCAGACACTCAGGCTGCATATGCGGGCAAGCTCCTGGCTGGGTCTGAAGGTAGACAAGAAGGCCCGATCTTTCCATCAGCCTCTGGGTGTCCCATAGGAGTGAATGTGTCCCCAGAATACTTATCAGGGGACAAAGGTCAGGTGTAGGTCCCTCCAAGCCTCCTCTCCTGCAGCACTAACACTGCCATTAGGGGGATGTTACCTTTCTCGTGTGACTGAGGAGGGAATGGACCCTAAGCACACAAGGATGTGGGTTGGTAACCTCTTTGATTGC